GAAAGGCAAAGTTTTTTTTTCAAGAACCTGAAATTCCGACCTAATGGCGATGAGCCTCCGTATACAATACGAGTTGCATTTGATCGACCGAATACTGGAGACACGTTCTTCACGACCATCTATGGTGATATCGCTCTAACGGAAGTTGTCAAAACTGCGCTCAAGCAAATGCGGTTAGCTCAAAAAAACACGGTCGTTTGTTTTGCCATTGCATCTTTTTTATAGGCTAGATTCTACACATTCTCACTACTCTCCACAAGTCCGCCAGTATGCCATGGAGCTGGCCCGTTCGATAATGCTTTGCAGCATCGGCCCAATTGATCTTACAGATGACTTGAAAATCAAGTTGAAAGATATCTTCAAAGAGCAGTACAAGGCAGGCTTTTCTAGCGCCGCCAACTTTGGCCTTGCTTTTTGTTTGAAAATGTTCCTGCGATTTCAGCGTCTGGATAGTGCACCCAAAGGATGTACAGCTTATCGATGTTCGAGAGAGGGTGATCGTTCCATACATGCTGACGCACTGATGATTCTGTTCTGTCAGTATACAGTAATCTTCTCTGATTACCATCACGTAGCCATTTTATAGGTGGAATTGTTGGCAAGGACCTTCGCGGCAAGTATATCAAGTTCTTCAACGCCACTATCCGCTACCTGACACTGCAAGCTTTGCTTGAGTTTACTGGTAAGTGGTCCAAAACTTGTTATTGTATTTCTGTAACTTTCTCGCCGGGGATGGGGAAGAGGTCTTATCCAGGGACTTCATCGGATGCTACTCGTATCTAACGCAAAAAATCAAAGCGGCAGTTAGATGAGTTTTCACCTCTCAAATTAAAGATTGTGGTGTTTTAACCATTGGAACGAAAAGTATCCATCCTCATAATCACAATTTTGTAACGAAGGGCCGTTTTGTCAAAATGGGTCGCACTGTTTTCGAATATCGAATATAGTCTACGAGTGTCATAAATGATGCTCAGATGCGCAGATGCTCAAATCTCGTTTGTGATGATTGACATAATTGAAATAATAAGTCCTATAAGACCTTTAAAAAAATCAAAAATTGGTTACTTCCGATCCCCACGTTTTCTGCTTGCAAAAGTGAATCAAGTTAACATGCGCACAATATGCTAATATGTATATCCACCAGGCCGAGCTTCTCTGATGTCCATGGACAATTGTGCTCAATGTATGGACGGTGGAATCCTTGTAGATGCAATCGTAACAGCACTTTCCGATTCTACAAAAGATTTCTGCCAGTCAGCAATCGTTGCTCTTCGCCACATCAACGATGTGTGCAGGGTTGTTATTCCAAACCTGGAAGTGGTTAGTTATGGATTTTCACTTTTTGGAAATGCTTACCCTAAAGCAAGTGTTCAGATGCCTTTGATACCATTTGTGCGGTATCTCTTAGAGAGCGTGAGCGCGCTGTGCTATGCCTCTTCTTGGTTTGTACGACTTGGAGGAGCAAGCGGATTGACATATTTCATTGAAAATTACCCTGACTCTGTTATTTTGGTTAACATGAGCAGATTCATGGATAGCCTCGTAGAGGTTGGTTCTTCAGCGAGCTACAACTTGTTTTTTCTTGACCAAAATTTGGAAAATGCAGGTTCTTGTTGGAATGACTGATCAGGTATCTTGTGGTGCTGTGGATATGGCAGTGGGAGCCATCGAGAAGCTGTTGAAACGATGCCTACCGGTTTGTCGCTTGTAAAAATCTTAATTCTGATAGATAAAATTTTGTGTTCAGGATTGCAAACTCGATGATCCGAAAGTATCGATATTCATGAATTCTGTTGCCAGTCAGCTGTTCAGTGGTAGCCAGAATATAAGGAACAAGGTGAGTTCTCCACCTTAGAAGAAAATCGCTGTATTTGTTATGCCATAGACGCTCTCTTTGCTCAATCTATGTGCGGATGTGCTGAAAGAGCCTTTTTCTGCCTTGATGTACGCTTACAGACACCTGTTTGTCTCACACATAGGTCAGTTGTTCACCACTTTATTGTTAGGTGATATCATGTGGGAGATCAACTTACAAAAAATAGTTTTGCTGGGATGCCTTTGTTTCAAAAACATCAATATACCGCTGTCTTGGATCTTGATATCTCACTTGTCTTATACCGTCGTGTTTTCTGATGAATAATGAGAGGACTCAACAAATAATAAGGCATTGGTGAGGCAGCTCATATGGCTCAGTTGTGGCTAAGACATGCAAATCTTAACTCCTTATTACCGTAATCGAGGACGCTGATTGGTCCGCCCACAATGTACGGTACAGATAGAGGTTAGAGATGATTTTTCGGCCCAAATACAGGGGGTGTTAAAATCTTGATACTAGTGACATAAACTTGATACTAGTATTCTTATAGTGATCGGGGCCCCTAGTCAAACATTATCTAGGCGGCCATATGCATTGCTTGTATATAGCCGAGAAATCATCTCTAACCTCTATCTGTACCGTACATTATGCGCGGACAATCAGCGTCCTCGATTACGGTAATAAGGAGTTCAGATTTGCATCTCTTAGACACAACTGAATTGTATGAGCTGCCTCACTGCAGTGCCTTATTATTTGTTAAGTCCTCTCAATCATTATTCATTAGAAAACACGACGGTATCCAGATTAGCCAGGATACCGTTTTTTAGAAGCGGTATCGAAATTAGCCAAGATACCGTTTTTAAAAAAAGGCATGGGTGTTATCAATCATGGAAATACAGATTTGAATTACCCTTGGCTCTTTACGATAAATTCGAACTTCTCTATTTGTAGCTTTTAATAAATTTATCGAGGAATGCAGAATTTTCGTAATGCAAATGCTGGAACCAGTCGAGATGACCTTTTTCAGAAAGAGCTATGGAAGAGTTCAACGTTTTGGCCCTTCTCGATCGCTGTGGCTCTCTGGAAGCACTGTGCACCATTTTCGTCTGCCAGCCCTCTCTTGTTGATGTGTCGATAGGACTGGAAAGGACACAGAAATTCTTGAACGAGTTGATCACCGTGTGTCAGATGCCTATCAGCGAAATGCTTGAACTGTAAGGTGTTACTTTAACATCATATCAAGTGATTTATGCTCGTGTTGTACTTCAGCGATCTCTTTAAATCCATGGAAGGATGTCCTGCACATTTTCTGCCACCGCATACAGTCAGCGAAAAGGCTGAGCATTATAAAATTATGGCAGTCAGTGAGTTTTTGATTTTTCAAAATAACTGCATGAAGAATGGATATTTCTATGAACACAATCATGTCTGCCTTTAAAATAGCAGACGTTCACTTCTAACCTTTTTAGGAGCGCTAGTGGCGCTGTACAAATCACTTTTGCGGGACGCTTCTGAAAATGGCATGGATACATCATCTGAAGCAGATGAAGGTGAAGAAGGCAGGCTGACGCTTTGCAAGATTGCTTGCGTTGCTGTTGAGACCGTCTTGTGTCCTTTGAAGTCAGTGGTGCAAGCTGCTGAAGAAGCTCTTCTACAGGTTTGACTCATTGTCAAAAATGTCTCATCGATAATGGTATCTTGCAGGTGGCCCCTGTCAATGCCGAATGTTTGAAAAGAGTTGGAGAGCATGTTTTTGCTCAGTTTCATGAACCCCATGGTGAAGGCTTGAATTCCGAAAGTGTGGCTCAGCTTTACCGTCTAGTTCGTCTAAATACGTCCTTATTCGACATCACGTTAGCTACGAATTTAGTGGTGAGTTTTTTCTTGGAAAAGGAGCCTAAAATTTGACGTAAAGGGCTTTCCTGCAGATAAATCTGTCTAAAGATAAATCTCATACAGATCAGACTGCTTTGGGCTTTTTTGACAAAGTCTTGGGATACAATGAAAAAAAAAGACTCACCTGTGGGCGGATTGAACTGAAGACGGACTGATCTACAGAAAAGCTGCCCTTATGT